ACAACACTAACAGATTGTTCTTAAGAGTTGTAAATGGGACTGCCTAGTATGGGCCAATAGGCCCGCTGCAGTTTCCTCCATTCTTATGTTCTTTCGTTCTTTACAATTCTCACTCCTAAAAAGTTTAACCAAGACGAATCAACCAAACCTAACTCAGATAACCTGACTTAAATATGACATTACATCATTAGGTTTGGTTAGGTTAGTTCATGTTATCTTGGATTAATGATCTAATGTAGCAACCGCTGGATGCGTTGTATGACAAAGCATCAAACGCAAAAATGGCGTCGGGTGGACGAACTTAAATTATTTCAAGAAACACGACGGAATACCAAATATACGAATATTGCAATTCCGGCACATACTTTGTGGTTTCCTCGAGGCAGGAAACTGGTCCTCAATAAAAAAAATGAAAATGGGTGATTTAAGAGCTAAAGAAATGCAAGGCAATACCAAAAATTCGGTATTGTTGCATTTTCAGCAGGTTAGGTTAGAAACGAGGATTTCCAACAAAAATCAATGTCAGAAGCGAATAAAACAAAAAAACCATCGGAAAAACACATTGCTCACCTCGATAGCCATGTTCGTTGAAAATGCAAATTTATCAAAAATTCTAAATTATGTACTCACCAGTGGTCAGAAAATGGGAAATAAGACCACCGCAGATCTTGCTCTCCTGCAAGGAGCCTAATTAGTTCTCTATCTTTTCCAGCAAGACACTCCTTAGACAGGTTTCCTTAGTTTCTGTTAATGAAGTGGTGGGTTGGGCAGAAACCCTCATCTTGTTTGTATTTTTGACAGTGACTCAAACGAGTGATGTAGCCAAACATGACCAACCACCTGGAGGTCCGACTAATTACTCAAATGTAGCCGCAATTAAGTCAAATGATGGTCCTACAAGCGTAAATCAGGCTGTGAATCACTTCTCGATTATTATTTGGTGTCATAAAGTCACAAAAAATTGGTAAACTTAATTTAATCTGAGTTAGGCTAGGTTGGGTTAGGTACATGCACTCGATCTATTAACTCAGATTAAATTAAGTTTACCTTTTTTTTTTTGACTTCGTGACACCAAATACCAGTCGAGAAGTGATTGGCAGTCCGATTTATTCTTGTAGGACCATCATTTGACTTCATTGCGGCTACATTTGGGTAATTAGTCGGACCCCCCACCTGGGGCTTACTAGCCTCCAAGGTTGACCACCAATGTTACATTCGTACACTGATGTTTTTCCTCGACTGCTCGCCCACATTGCCAACAAAATCACTTGCAGGCCTTTAGCACGTTATCCGCTTGGGCAATCGGTCAGTGACGGTCACGTCAAAAATCAAGATTACTGTAGTGGATTTCTCCCCTACAAACGCTGTTTGTCGCTGAGTAGCCGACCCCGCGAATTCCCCAGTGTATGCCTCGTGGTCTAGGTCAACCAGCGCCGCCATACATCACGGAGGTCAACTATTAAGCCACGCCTACCTCCGCTATATAAGACCTGACCTCGTGGTTACCTACCTCTCTTCTAGCTACAGCCGCAGCAAGCAACACCACCTTCTCCGCCGCTGCCTGGTGGTCCTCGCTCCCGCCGGCGAGCATGGCGACCCACAAGCTGTCCTCCTCTGAGCACCCTCACCAACCAGCTCTCTCTACTCAACGCTTGTAACCACGCTGCCACTTCCCAGCACCAAGCTGCATTGTACATCCAATACAACATGTATACAGAGAGCACATTGTGAGTTTCCTTTCTCCATCCCATCCTGAGTGTGAACCCAAACATCCCATACCCCACAGTATCACACTAATCAGAGAGTAAACACACGGTTGCATGGAGCGTTCAAAATTAGTGGAGGCATCGGGGAACCACTGCGTTACTGACTGGCTAAGAGCAAGAATTGAATAAGGAAGTGTAACTCCCTCTTATAACCAATATTTTGACAGTTGCCACAGCCAGCGCCAAAGAGCCACAGCGAGACCATGGCGTCACCTGTTGGCCAAGCTAATAACTTTCCAAGGGAAACATTACAGAATGGTAAAGGGTAAATGTAGGATTTCATGTATGCGTTTGCAGCAAGTTTGCTGTATACGTTTGCAGTATGCATTTGTATTAAATTGCCCTGAGAAACAGGACAAAAAATGACGCCTGGTGCAATGAAGTTTCGACGCTATTTTTATGAACAGGATGATTTGCTGTGAAATATCCTGAGTTTGTATGAGATCATGAGTAAGTCAAAGGAAAACGGACAAAGAAACATAATGGTGTATTCATAGATTGCTGCTGAATCAGAACAAATATGGAGCCTTCAGTACTCTGGTAAAAGACCTAAGCTTGGATGAAGAAAATTCAAAGACTATTTTCGTCTGAGCAGACAACAGTTCGCACATGTTCTTTCCCGCACCCTTATCCACTACCTCAGAAGATGCCCCCACACACAACGCTTCCACGACTCCCTGACGGAGACACAATGATCCTCCCCATACTGGCCCGATATTATGTAAATAACATTGATTATGTGTTAAAGGAGTATCCTTCCTTCCTTAGGCTTTAGTAAGCCCCTTTATAATATTTATTAATACTGTATATACTTGTGACACTTGACAGATGCTTCTGGTGTTATTGTACAGGGGTACCTAGTGACAGCACTAGGATCCCGCTTCCTCTATCAAGGAATAAACAATTGAAATTGATGACTAAATGATCATATTGTCAATTCTCAATAGTTTCGAAGTTACAGAACATGTTAGGTTTGGTAGGAATGTGATGAAACCTATATGGGGTGTGAATGAAACCTCCACTGTTGCGTGTGACGTTTATTAACAATAATAATGCCCTATTATTTGTACTGGTATTAACATTTAGAGTAAATGTTCAGAGTTCTGTCCCTCTTGCTCAATGCAGGCTTCAGCCCGTCGCACAGTGGCACACGTTCAGACACCCCAGGAGTGTTGCGAATGTTTGTCACAATGTCCTGCATTCGGTGTCACAATTCTTAACGGTTTGGGACCCCTGTAACATACACCTCGCTTATTATGTGACCCCACAGGCAAAAATCAAGGGGATACATTTACTCCCCATATAAGTTTCATTACATTCCTACCAAACCTGTCATGAGCTGTAACTCCAAAACTATTGAGAATTGACAATTTGGTCATTTAGTCATTCATCTTTATTTATGTTTCAGGAATACACCCCTTGATTTATGAAAGGTATTTGCAGAGCACCCTGTATATATAGTATCGTTTTTGAGTGCCCAGAACTCGATCTGCATTGAAGGGGTTGTAGTGGACGTCTCCCCTACAACTGTGTAGCTGCATTCCAATGCCACAGTATCCTAGCAACCAGCCACCTGCTACGTCTTCCCTAGCAACCACACGAGCGGCCCAGGGGGGGGGGGGGCGTCACCAGATACCACAGTATCCTAGTAACCAGCCACGTCTTCCCTAGCAACGGAGTCAAGAAACCGGCGACTTCCCACGGGTTTACTTCCGGCTGCTGTGTATATAAGCTCTGTCTCTCCATTGAGATTCATTCTGGCCTCGGTTCCTGAACACGCAACACCTCCTCCAAGCAAGCTCCTCGCTGTCCAGCTCTCATTCTACCTGGAGGCCAGCAACAGGCAACATCTCCTCTAACGAAGCTCCTGCACATCTACCTCCTTCAGCACGCTACTCACCGAATGTGTCTACTGAGCAGCTCCTCACCACATGGCATCTCCAGCACCAGACTGTCTTTCATATAACTTATATTATATAAGAAAACCACCACCTTAGAGTTTCCATCCATCCAACCTGAGTGCTAGACAATATAATACCACGAAACCCTACAGGGTCCTTAAAGCTCTAGCCCTTCTCATCACGTAGCATAAGGGTGTTTAATCATCATGCAAAGTAAGTTAGTGAGATTAATCTTCAGATGATCCATCTTTTGTCATAAATGTAGCAAATTTACCTCAATTGCCTTGAGGTGGCCATACTGAGGGAAAGAGGCCAGTGGCCTATGTAGGATTCCTGCATTGTTCTTGATAACTCTGTCAAGGATAATTTTGAAGCCCAGTGCTGTTCTTCATTCTACAACTTGGGCTGGTAGACCTCTCCATAGGTATACCACCTTGTGTGTGTGAAAATTATTTCCTTATATACATTCTGCATAACTTGGCAAGCTTGGCGTTGTGTCCTCTCCTGTTGGAGGCGCAGGACATCACAAAAAAATGTCCCAGGTTTACATTTTCCATCCCTTTCAGGATTTTGAATGTTTCAGTGAGATCTGTCCTATTGTGCCTTGTCTGTAGGGTTGTTAGTTCTAAGGCCCTTAGTCTACTTGGATAATGAAGATAATATAGTTCTGGAATCATCTAGGTTGCCGTGTTGAACCTTTCTTGGGTTTTTGGAGATAGGGTTTTCATGCCTGTATACAGTTATCCAGACTGGGATGTACTTGAGATTTGTACAGTTGAAGGAGCATTTTCCTATCTTTGTATTCAAAGGTATGCTTTATAATTACCGCCACCCCCCCCCAAAAAAAAAAAAAACCACTTGATTTGCTTTACCCCATTTGTTGATTTGTTGTGCCGCCTTCGGTGAATGATCTTTCACAAGGCCTAAATCTTTCTCCTTATCTAGAGTTTCCAGGAAAATGTTAATAACAGAATAATTGTGCTTTAGCTTATTGTATCCTATGTGTCAGGTCTTGCATTTCGCAATTTTAAAGAGCATTTGCCATGCGCAGGCCAACCGGCCTATTGCAGACTCCTTATTTTCTTATGCTCTTATGTACACAGCTCATTCAGGTCTTTCTGCATTGTTGCAACATTATCTTGATTTGCTTTCTTCCCAAATATCTGCATGGCATCTGCAAACTTCACAATGTGGCTTGATATATTTTCATCTCTGCTGTTTAATGTTTTATTTATCTTGACATATGTATGCTGTATTGTTTTCTTGTTTAGTAAACTTGAAGATTTTTCACTTTTTCACATCAATTACTTTATCCGGTGAAAAAGCACTAAGATTACGAAGAAAATAATTTGCTTTATTCAACAAAATTATACACCATTTATAAATTAAAGCACTCCACTCAGTAATTTGTACATGTCAGACAAGCTATATTTCTATCACACAGAAAAGTTTTTAAAATATGAGTCACAACCACAATACAGTAATCCATGTATGGTACCTAACCTTGCTATTCTCCAACAGGTTTCACTGCTGTTATCGAACATCCACAGAACAATAATGAGATGAATTCCATGAGAGATTATGGGTAATATTAATTGGTATATTGAATATATCGCTAAGGGAAAGCAAAGTCTTGGATGCCACTATATAAGTACTAGTGACAGAGAGTAGTTGTTTGTGAATGAACAAGTGAGGCTGTTGAGAAATTAGCTTGGAAAGAACCTCTCCTTGTTCATTCAGAATTTCACTTTCTTGTTGGAGCCAATCAGGAACATTGTTCAGGTCTACAGCTCTTGTAGTTCCCTTGACTGCATCTAACATTGCTTCAGCCATTCTAAGACTGAGTTGTTTTGGTTCTTTATATAAGTTCATTGTGTGAGAGTGAAAAAGGTAAGAGCTAGAATTAAAAAATGACTTGTGTAAGGATGAGAAATCATCAATGTGTTGACCAGAACATATCTTCCAGATTACTCTGAAGGATGACCAATCATTAGTACAAATACTTTGATGAGTGATAATTTTAGCCAATTCTAGTATAGCAAGATTTGGATGAAATAATTCCAAAGTGTGTGACTGTAGATTGAAGTTGTCTGGAATTAAATCCTTTGAGAATGATTGTGTATCAAACCCTTTCTCTAATAGCTTTTCCTTTGACATAGTTTTTGTGTAGTGGTCAGAGTCTGAAAGTGAAAATACTACATAACACACGGAATTTCTTATGTCTGAATCCTCATCTTGAAGGAGTTCAGTGCATACAAAAATCAAATTTTCTTTACAAACTTGGCTAACATCTTGCTCAGAGAACAGCAGTGATTTCATGGAAGCCTTGAGAGCCTTGCTGGCAGCCAGACGGTAATCTTCTGTGGATGTAGGATCAGAGTATGATCTGATGACTCCAGTGAAGGTGGACAGTATATTACACTTCATCTCTCTTCCAGGCCACTGATTGTCATCAAGTTTTCCAAATATATGAGCTATAATAACCAAAGCCAATGATGCAGCTTTGGCTCCATGACATCCCTTCAGTAATGTCAAAAGATTTTCCATACATTTTACTGAAGGTAAAGAATGCAGTTCATCATTTTCTTCTAAAATAGTACATAACAGCTTCATAACTGCTAAAGCAGTCTTATGTATTGAAGGTTTCTGTTCAAGTCTTTGCCACATTAATCTTTCAATCATGCCTATCCAAGAACTGTGATTGTATATTTTGAAGTGATCTGCTAAGTAATCAATACAGAGCTGTTCCTCTAAGTCATGGGTATGTGATAAGTTACTTGTCAATATCTTTACAATTTCACTTTGAGAATTATGGTAAATTTTCCTCATAGTAAGAGTCTGTATGAACTCAGCAGCACCTGGCTGAAATGAATCTATGGGCTTCACATCTGTCCTGATATAATCCACTTGCAGAAAAATAAAGAGTTTCAAAGCAAGGGCAGCAGTGATGAGACATTTATTGTTTGGTTCCAAGAGCCAGTTAACTGAGGTAACAATGTTATTCTTTAGTTCCTGGTCATTTCTGAGATTAGGATATGTTTGTACAAAATTTACTAATGCACATAGACTACCATGAATCAGATTTGTGTTGGCAAGTTTTGGTGGCCTTAACAGCTGAAGTAAATTGCTAATGCATATATGAACCTTTTTAGTTAGTGTTAGTGCAACAAGTGCAAGAGATGCAAGTCTACGGACAGTGTGTACAGGAGAACCCAACAGTGTGTTCGTGACTTGACAAAATTTTTCGAGCGTGTCATTAAGCCCTCTATTCTGTTGTAGCCCAGTTCCAGGTGAAAGTCTTGCCACAAAACTCAGCGCTGGAACTAAACTAGAAGCCACTTTTATGGATAGATGATCTTTTGTAGCTCCAGTTCTATCTTTTGTGGCTGTATTATGTGCAAGTCCGTTATGTACCTCTTTCCCACTTCCACAACCTGAAAGTAACTGAAGGAGAAATTCAGCGAGGGTTGGGTGTCGAGAAAGGAATTCAGGAGCGGTGAGACTATTGAGTGTGGAGGAATCATCACGAACTTTCTTCTGACCCACCATCCTTGGCACCACTGCTCCATACAGTTGCAGAGCTGCATTCCTGAAAATGATAATAAAGGCAAATTTCTTTATAAGCTGAATAAGACTAATATACATACAGTATTCATACATCAATACAGCTCCTTCCCGACTTACGACCACCCGCACTTATGACCTGCCTCAGTCGTACCAAAATTTTGTCAAATTACGTATTTTCGAGTCCTAACGTCAGTACACAAACAAAATTTTCGTTTGTAATTCACTTTAAAATGGCTGGCAAGCTTAAAAGTGAGAGTTTTGTGGTGCTGAGAAGAAAAAGAGACACCCATTTTAGAATTTCTATGTAGTATTTAAGCATTTTCGACTTACAACCATTTCGACTTACGACCTGGATTTGGGTCCCTAACCCCATCGTAAGTCTGGGAGGAGCTGTATATATAGTATGATTAAATTTAAAGGAGAATATAATTTCCCACTGTGTGTTGGCCATGACTTAAATTCTTTAGGCTTCCCCATCTTAATACATGATTCTAAGCTGCTGCATTTGGTGAAACTGTAGCTTCATGGAACTCTTATGCACTACTTCACTTTTCTCTACTACACAGCTCGTTGTCTTCCTACCATCCTAGGCCATTTTACCTTGTTCATCTATAATCATTGTAAAATTCTATTATCCTTCATCTCCACATCCTTACCTTTGCCTTTACTAGTAATCCTGTCACTGATACACTTCACTAATGCACATTCCCTCCCATCCACTGATGCATGTACTATACATAGTACACAAATAGTTCATTTTCACATCCTTAATTCCAAAGCTATCTACTCTATTCCACATGCAAGTGTCACTCCCACACACCGGGATTAGAAAGGGTTATGTCGTCTTTCTATTCTTTACATCTGTTATTACAGTAGTAGGTAGTAAGCAGCTACCAAACAGGGAGGTACTACTGCCTGGGAAGATATTGGAAGCATAATGTGTTGTCTAATGGTAGACCCTGCTGTCATATGGCACCACGAAAATTGTGACCAAGTCCCAGGTTGCTGATCTGACATTCTGCCTCATTTACAGACAATTTCAGGGTCTTTTACACAAAATTGCAGGGTCTCAATTGTTTCTCTTACTATTGACAACACAACATACATACAGTATATTGTTTCTTACTTTTGATCTTTTTTTTAATTTTTGTATTTCTTTAAATGGTTCTTTACTATTATTATTATTATTATTATTATTATTACAGTGTTGTTTTTATTATTACCGTATATACTTGTGTATAGTTCGAGTTTTTAAGATCAAATTTTTAGGCAAAAAATTGGAGGTCGTCCTATACATGCGTAATAGTTTGTTAGGTTGAACCCGTGCATGATGGGAAGGGCGAGGAGCAACTTTTAGCTTCAGACATGAAAAATATTTACCATTTACTGCCAGTAAACAATGGAAACGTAAAATATGTACCAATTAGTAATGAAAAGTTGTGCAGTTCCTTCAGCAAATGAAGCTCACCAACTTACAATTGGCTAAATTACCTTACAACGTGCTTTCAGTAGTCTATGTTGAAGTTCTTAGCACAGGCTACCTTATCATATCATATACGGTATCACAGTTCTCATTGATCTACAAAAAATACCAGAAATAAAAACCTTTTCGATATTTCACACTTAATGTAATACCTGGTAATCTACTTCAACCTCCTATTGTTTACAACGACACATGATGCATCACGCACCACCAGCTGTTGCGTGTATCAGCTAGACGGTACACATGTTTTTCGAATAGTTTTCAGTTAAAAAACTGTTACATCACATGTATATTTTACCTTAACTGTGCCTGAATGAATATATTCTCAGAAATAAATAGTAGTTTTGCTGAAATGTGATGTATTTTAATGTGAAATAGGATAAAATACATGACGAAAACAAAAGATTTTACCTAACCTTCCGATGTTCAAGAGAAGTTACTCGTTTTTTTAATAGTTTTTGTTTAAAATGTTGTTATATTACAATTCATACTGTGCTTGATATAATGCATTCATGGAAATGTAATATTTTTGCTGAAATAACGTACATATTACAGTGGAAAGTGGGATAAAATCGTGACGAAAACAATGACTTTCGCTTTCTTTCGTTCAAAAGATGTTACCGTAATCGCTTTTCAAATGGTTTTCAGTTAAAAAACTGTTGTATTACAATAATATTCTATCTTAATTGACTAGAATAAATACTATGATACCATATTTCTGAATATTTTCATTAAAATCCATCAAAATCATTTTCCTTGTCATCGTCTGCAGCACCAAACAGCTTCTACCAGTCCTCTCCTTGAACAGGGCTAGAGGGTACGTGTTTTTCGAATCGTTTTCAGTTAAAAAACTATTACATCACACGTATATTTCACCTAAACTGTGCCTGAATGAATATATCCTCGGAAATAAATAGTAGTTTTGCTGAAATGTGATGTATTTCAATGTAAAATAGGATAAAATACATGACGAAAACAAAAGACTTTACCTAAGCTTCCGATGTTCTTGAGATGTTACTCGTTTTTTTAATAGTTTTTGGTTAAAATTCTGTTATATTACAATGATATTGTATTCATACTGTGCTTGATATAATGCATTCACGGAAATGTAATATTTTTGCTGAAACTACGTACGTATTACAGTGGAAAGTGGGATAAAATCGTGACGAAAACAATGACTTTCGCTTTCTTTCGTTCAAAAAATGTTACCGTAATCGCTTTTCGAATGGTTTAGTTAAAAAACTGTTGTATTACAATAATATTCCCTCCTAATTGACTTGAGTAAATACTTGAATGGAAATATACAATATTTTTGTTGAAACTACCCGCGTTTCAGTGTAAAGTGTCGTAATAATAAATGGTAAACAATTTGCCTTCGGCACTCGGTGTTTCAGGCACGGCGAGCCTCAGTTTATAGGACGTAGAGTGTTTTTACTGAAGGTTTTGTTGTTCCATTACCCTCAAAAACGTGGGTCGACCTATAAACGAGGAATATCATAAATTAACGATTTCTTGGTCAAAAAATCAGGGTTGACCTATAAACGATGGGGGGTTATAGATGAGTATATACGGTATTATTATTATTATTATTATTACAGTGTTGTATTTATTATTATTATTATTATTTTATTTTAAAATTTGTATCTTTTTATTAAAAAATTTATTTACCATGAATTATTACTATTATTATTACATTTTTGCCCCCTAGGCCCCAATTATTATTATTATTACATTTTCGGCCCCTAGGCCCCGATGTGGGTCAGTGACCTGTGCCTGGGTGGGCTAATCCCCATAAGAAAAAAAAATCATCTTTATCCTAAGCATTGTTCTCTATGCTAGTTCTCCCTTCATTGTGTCATGGTTGCATAATATTGATTCCATGTACAGTCAGCCAAAGATGCATTGACCCCACCCTGGGTCTCGTGCTCGCAATTTTACCTGGCAATACTTGGTACAGGAAGGCTGTATGTAAAGGTGATTGGTGGATCTGTTTTCGGCTGTATCACTGTCAGGATAAATATTAAACAAACCAAAGGTAACATATTTATAATAAACTATTCATTGTTATTTAAGGTCAGGAGAAGATTCCAAATGTTCGTATGATTGTTTAATAATGAAGAAAATTTGATGTGAGAATCTTGTGGCAGCTGTGGTTGTAGTTGAGTTACCAATTCATTAATATAATTTTCTTCATTATTTAAGCAAATATGTGAAAATTTTTAAACTTCTAATGACCTTAAATAACAATGAATACTGTAGTTTATTATCATCAAAATTCTATCTTTGGTTTGTTTAATAATTATCCTGACAGTGATACAGCCGAAAACAAATCCACCAATCACAATCACCTTTACATACAGCCTTACTTTATCAAGTATTGCCAGGTAAAATTGCGAGCACAAGACCCAGGGTGGGGTCGGTGCATCTTTGGCTGACTGTATAAGCCTAACATATTCTACAGTATAAGACACTTAACTCTCTCTCCTTCTCAAAATGTATCCAAGTCTTTCTTACAGCATTTATCTTAACCTTAATTTCTGATACACATTATACAGATAAACAGGAGAAATAAATGAGAGGCAAAAGATGGTAAACTTAGGAGGTACTGCAACAAGTTTAATAGAAGCTAAAAAATATTACAGTATTTCAGATTTATTCCTTTCATTTCACAATAATAGTACATACCATAACATATTATCTTCCAAAATTGGAAGTTCATTTTAATTTTATAAGAGTAGTACACAAGTGTAAATACTGTATTTACCTGAGAGCCCATGACTCACTAGTGAAGGCTTCTAGACACGTGGCAGTAATGGCTGGCATATGGTGAATCATATGATGGGCCAATGGAGCATGGATGACCACAGAGTGCAGAACATGGAGTGCCAAGACTGGAGGCGAGTCCAAGGTACTCTGTTCTGCATACTAAAGACAGAAATTCATCATCAAAATAAATACAACTAAAACATTAATTTGTATTTTTTTTTATTAGCCACAACAAACAGAGCTCAAGTACACTATATGTATAGTGTTTCCACTTTGTGTGTTTCAAATCTCTTTGTATAAATAAAAAGTTCAGAGAGTTTGATTTGATGAAGCATGGCAAATGAATGAAGTGAAAACCAATGTTTTAATTAATTCTTGGGGAAGGAATTGAAAGGTCAAGGTCACAAATCAAGGATAAAGTACATTATGTATGAATATAGGCCTTGTAACTGGTGAATTGAATTTATTGTTTTATGAAACAAACTATAGGCGTTTATTGTAAGGCGTTTTAGATGCACAAAATAGCTAACGTGTTAACTATTCTGTCTGCGCAGACGCTGCTGCTGAGTTGTGTGCATGACACCTTCAGAGGGAAAAGCTAACGACTCAATCAGGTGTTAGCCTTGTGCAGCGCCCAAGCGGCCCAAATAGCTAACAACCAATCAGCTATTTCTCCCACTGAAAATACGCGGATCACAGCCAGTTATGGAGAATATTTTTATTAATATTGAAAAGTTGGGGGCATGCAAGGCAATAAAAAACTGTGATTTAATAATAAAAATAATTCTATATGCGGTAGTATAATGGATAGAACCTAAAACAAAGCGTATGGCGTGAAAGAATTGAAAAGGATTGCACCTAGTTGAACCAGTTTTGGCTCTGCCCATTTTTAAGTGGGCACTGTCCGATTTCATTAGCAGTTGGTGACTTTGGTGTAACAATATTTATAATTACTCAAATATGATTAAACTTTAATATCATTACTCATAAGATACAGGTACACCACCGATTTTCCGGCACACTTGGCTCCAAAGCCTTGTCGAATTATCCGTTTTGCCGGACCAACCGAGGTCAGGTAATAATAATTCAACAATACACCTCTGAACCACTAATTATACACCTCCTGTGTCTCTAAAGCACCATGGACTGCTAGAAACTTAAATTAAACTATGTGATGTTTATAGTACTCAAATTAATCACTATATTACAAGGGTTCCAGCAATGTAATTTATATTCTGCTAATTCTAGTCTGCGACATTTTATAAGATAAAAACTTTTTAAGTCTAAACTGCCTTCACCCTGGCTGTGAGGAAGGGGAGGGGCCGGTTGACGTGTTGAAAGCTGTCAGGAAGGGGAGATAACAAAGTGCTTAGTTATCAAAACAGAAGGAGTTTTAGATTTCCCTTGTAAAATGTCACTGAATTGACTTGGCAGTATATAATTTGCATTGATGTAATTCTTGTAAGATAGTGATTAATTTGAGTATAATCATCACATAGTTTGCACTAGCCATAAAATTTTTAGTAATTACCTTATTACAGGTTTACCCTTAGGACAATTATTTCTTTTACTTTTTTCACAATATATATTTAGGATGGTGTGTGCATGTAAATGAATAAAAATAAATGAAGACAGTTACATATATCTTCCCAAAAATATGAGTTAAAAAACTTGTACACAAATGTACTACACTAGACTAAAATGTCTATCTCTTGTGCAAACTATGTGATGTTTATACTCAAATTAATTAATATCTTACAAGGATTCCAGCAATACAATTTATATTCAGCTACGTCTAGTCAGCTACATTTTATAAGATAAAAACTTTAAGCCTAAAACTAGCTTCACCCAGGCTGGGGTGGAGGGGGGGAAGTTAAGTGCCCCCTCATAATTTTGTCCGGAGTAAAGGAAGTGCCGGACCATCAGTTCTCGGATAATCGGTGGTGTACCTGTACTTTAAATAAAGATGAACAAGTTGATTACAGTTCTGTAAGTGCAAAAATTAAGACTTAAACGATCTGAAATTTGTCGTATTTCGTGTGTAAAAATGTGAACACCTAGCCGCGAGAGACAGTAGAGTGGTTTCAGAGTTCGGGAGAAATTACCTTTACAACTGGCCCGAATTTTTTGTTATATTCTTATTTATTGTTGACTGATGGACTTTTTTTTCCTTTTTTTGTCTTTCTTTCCATAATTTTCTATATAGTTTCTTCACTATTTATTTCCTTATTGTATCCAAATAACATTTCTCCTAATTCTATTGCTTTCTGAAGACTGTGGTGTACAACAGTTATTTCCAAGACGCGGTACAATGTCGTATTTTTTAATGACAGTCCGGGAAAGCTAACGTGTTAGTTATTCCGTGCATCTTAAAATGCCTTACAATAAACGCCTTACTTACTGTATATGTGGTGAAAATCAAGAATAACCCTTTACCTCTGAGGGAATACCACAAAATAATGTCCTGACATACAGTTGGAAAAGAAGTGCAGTATCACATACAGTACGTCTAATTGTGTATACCCTGTATTATTTTTGTTCCCCAGTTTGGGGAAATATGATGCAAACCACCCCAAATCTAACAGGGTTAATGTCAGAGATATGAACAACAATCCTTTAAGTATCTTACAAGTGAGAGAATTAATTATGATGAAATGTAACAAGTTGGTTGGATGTTTGTCCAAGAAAAAATAATTTGTTTAATTTTGGAAAACTAATGTCAGTGTTACAGTAATGATCAAATTTCCAAATATAGTACCTGTACTGTATTGTACTGTAAGCTGGTATTCATGCTGTGATGAGAAAATTTTTAGTTATTGAAACTTCTTGGTGAAATATATAGTTTAATTTTGTTCCATGTATATTATCTGTGCAGTACTGTACAGTATATGAATAAAAAATATCTTGCATGTACAGGGTATGTAGAAGTTATATACAGTACAGTACAGTACAGTACTGTGGTGAATGCATCATTCTAAGTACAGTATCCATTTACAGTGATATTCCCATTAGCCGGAACAATTGGTGCAGAGCACTTCCGGGAATGAGAGATTTCCGGGTAACGAGACGACTCTCTCAAACCCAGAAAAAGTCCTCCCCTCACCAAAAATTTTCCGGGTACACTAGTACCTCAACATTTGCGAAGGACAGGTTCCTGGAACACCCACGAATGTAAAATTTCAAGAAAAAATTTCTTTAATATCCTATCTTTACATTAGTGTACTGTACCATAAATTAGGGACAAAAAAAGAAAAAAGAAAAACTTTATTTAAGCCCTCTAAATACAACACAGGTGTGTACAGTTACTATATACTATATGTGTTAATCAAAATAAATTAAATGAGAAGGAAGTACAGTAAATGTGGGAAATCAACTGGTTTGCAGTAATGGTTAAGCGTCATCTGCTGTCTGCCTCACACGGCCTGTACAGGTACCACCAGCACTTCATAAAGACTCACAACTGTATAACGAATAACCTTTGGGTCAACTGGCACATTTTTCTGACTCATATCCTCAATCCATACACTATATTATATGCCTTCTCCATCTTCTCCATACCTTTATCACATATCTGATGTGTAACTTTAGCACTGTGTGGTACAGTATGAGGAACACTACTTCTAATTTCCTTGCCTATCATCTTTATGGAACGAACAGCTGAGTCACTCACTTCAAATGGACAGCCAACCACTGATGCATGCATGCCACTATCAAGTTTATCTAACACTTAAATTTTCTGTGTCAGAGTCATGACTTTCTGCACTCTCTTTGCACCAAATACACTACCACTATGGGAGCCAAGACAGTTATAATTAGTATTAGAATTGCTCTCAGATGAGACTGGCGAGAGAGAACAGCTGCGAGGGATGCAGCATGACACCATGATGTGACATCATGGTACATGCCCACGGTTTTTAAAATAAGCACCTTACCTTTTTATGTTATTTTAATAGATAAAAATCTCTGAGGCTCATTTCATGGATACCGGTAGTCAAATTTGCAGGAGTTGAACTAGCATATGTTCAGGGACTGGTGTACACTGGACCCTTGCTTTATGCACATTCACTACAGGTATATGCGAATTCGCACTTATGCAGCGACCCTATTTGTACCCACAATTCATTTTATGTGGAAAAGATCCCTATTATGCATTCTGCAGAATATTTTGCATACTAGTTTTATATTATCTTTATTTCTAAGCCACATTAGAGTATTTTAATGGTTTTCTACAACTTTTATAGCATTAATGCCTCACGAATGATTGTGAAACATCGCACAGTGTGTGGGTGTGTCCACTGCGCTGTATCTGACATCACAGGACGCGGCTGGAGTGGTCAGTCAGCCACTCCACACACTTTCACTTTCCACACAAACACCAATGCTCTTCATATGTCTTGGTTTATAGATTTATATTATATTTTATAATTTTATATCATATTATCTTTATTTCTAACCCACATTAGAGTACTGTATATTGTAATGATTTTTCCACAACTTTTATAGCATTACTGTTGACTTTAAGTAGTTGTGGAACATATCCTAATTTTCCCCATAAGATTAAGCATTCACTATATGCAGATTCCCATTATGCTGTGCTGTTGCAGAATACGACCATAGCATAAAGTGAGGGTCAGGTGTACTGGAAAAAGTTTCTAGGAATTTTCCAGAAATTGTGCATTATTTCATCCTTCGAATTTGCTCACAGACCCGGAGAAACAATGAGGAAATTTTGTGGAATTTTCTCGAAATTTCCAGAATGATGCATTATTTAATTCTTGGAATTCACTCCCAGACCTGGGAAAAAATTGGAGAGAGTTTCCAGAATTTTTCTCAGAATTTTCAGAAAATACTCCTGATTTTCATTCTCAATTTTTTTTCCAGACCCGAAAAAACAGAAAAACAAAAATGGAGAGATTCCAGAATTTTACAGAGAATGATCCTGATTTTCAACTTTGGAAAATTGTCCCCAAACCCGGAATTGAAAGAAATTTTCCAGAACAATTCTGAGCAAATTTCAATTCTGGTTATTGGAGAGTTTTCATTTATTCTGAATTATCAGTATACTGTACTGTACAGTAAGATCTCATATTTCGCACGATTTCATTTCGCGAGCACTACCTAATGTAACCAAGCCTTATTATTTGGCGTAAAATATCGTG